AATCACAAAAGCATTCTTTTAAGCACTATGTCTTGACAATCTCCAAATCTATAGCATCAATACACATAGACATGCATCAATAACACAAAATCTAGAAACAAACACATGAACATCTATTCTAGCATACATAGACATATGGATAGAATGAAATGATCAATTGGAAGTATTAAACCACATAAATCATTGAATAAACAAGATCTATATATATCAAAGTGTCAAAACATTAATTACAACACTAATCCCTCAATAATACACAAGATTAAGACATAGAAAGCATGCTTAGGGCTAACTCTAGCCCCAAGAGAATGTCTAGCCACTCATGGTGATGTTGCTCCAATCCTCAAGGGCTAACTCCATGGTTGAAATCTGCTCCTTGTTGATGAAGAACCTCTAATGGTGTCTCTAGCCTCCTCCTCTATATTTCCTCTCCAAGAGATGATATGAAAAATGATATTCGCTCCCCTTGTAAAAAGCAATCCTTATCCTTATATAGGTAGGTCAAAAGACACCCAAAATGAGCTGGGGTTGTGCACACAATATTCCCTCATGATTGGATAAAGGACAGTTTTCAATGAGATGAAAATTTAACTTTTTCGCACTGGAGGAAGTTCGATCGATCGAACCTTGGATTTGGATCGATCGAACTAGCTGAGATCCATCGAACTTAGGCTGGATCGATCTAACTGGTTGAACTTTTTGGGAAAAGACAAATTCGAGATATTTTGGGAGATATTTCTGGAAAAAGGACAAAAGTGGATAGTGGGTGGTACAGCTGTGGATAGGATCAATCATTTGAATAAGGACAAAAGTGGTCGATCGATCGAAGGGTGGTGTTGGATCGATCGAACTTTTGGACTTTATGCTTTTGGGCCAAGGCTTGGATCTATCTTGAAGTGCTGAGATCAATTATTGTTTGATCGATCGAACCTTGAACTTGGATCGATCGAACTTTTCTGCTTCCCACCTTTGGCTTCATTTGCTTCATTCTTTCTCCACTTTGCTCCTTTCTTTGTTTAATCTCAGAGTTGCTTCCTTTTTGCTCTTATTTGGCTGAGTTAGCTTATTTTCGGGATAAGTGCCTGAAAATGGAAATAATACGAAATCAATCTAAAACGGTAAAGTAAGATAGATAAAGGTACTAGAATACCTAAGCTTAAGGGGTTTAAATACGCACTTTTCAGTGCTCATCACTCCCCTTAGTTCATTTAAACACACACACACACACACACACACACACACACACACACACACACACACACATATAGTCATTTATCGTCTTCCTCCCACACACAGGTATATAGACCCTCCGACAGAGCACGAGACGCGGATGTTCGCCATCGATTGCGAAGCCGTCGAGGTTGTAAGCCTATAATTTGACGTCCCACCACCAAGAGACACCGATTACAACACCGTAAAGGCTGTAATCCGACATCCCACCGCCAAGAGACATCATTGTGACGCCATCAATACTATAATCCGACATCTCGCTGCAGAGAGACATCGATTGCGACTTCGTCGAGGAATAATCTGACATCTCGCCACCACGAGACATCATTGTGATGCCATCGATGCTATAATCCGGCATCTCACCATCGAGAGACATCATTGCAACGCTATCGATGCTATAATCCGATATCTCGCCGCCGAGAGACATCGATTGCTACGCCGTCGAGGAATAATCAAAGGCGGCAGTGGAACAGCGACAGTACCATCACCACCACCACCACCGATCTAACGTCGTTTCTGTTTCTCTGGTTATGGGTACTACAAAGGCGTGCTGAAGTGATAACATTGCCGTCGGCGTCGATCAAAACGCTGTCGGTATCGCCGTTTGACTTTGATGAAATCCTGTGAGCCAAACTTGGCTATCTCGAACAATTGGAACTCGACGCTGCGTTGCGCCGTAACTCCGAGGTTTTGTCAGAGTTCACTCGAAATTGAAGAACTAATTTTTGTTAAGGGGTCCCAATTCCTAAATCCACCTTTTATCTCTCTGTAAACCTCACTGAAAATAGAGCAATGGTAGGAACTGGTTGCTGTCATCATGAGCCTCAATTGGGTTATAGTTCACAGCCTGATGGGTCTCAATTTTCTAGGTCTTATGGATTCGTCTATGAAGGCTCAAGTTGAGAGCTTGAGTGACAGTGGTGAGGTCAAGAACCACGACATGATCGCTGGGCGATAGCGAGGTTTTTGTGAGTGTAGCGGCCGAGGAAGAGCTCGTCGATGCAGGGGAAGATTATTCGGGACGCGATTTGGTCGTTCAAGAAATTAAAGTCTTGATGATTTGGGAGCGATCCTCTCTGTACAAAGATTGCAGAGAGAGAAATAAACATATATACATATATGAATGTGGTATATTGAGATAGATTAGGGTGTTTTAGTCTTTTTCATTTAAATTACAAATTTCTATATAAATATCAATATAATTGATGAGCGCTGAAAAGTGCGCATTTAAACCCCTTAAGCTTGAGTATTCTAGAACCTTTATCTATCTTATTTTCCCGTTTTAGACTAATGTCATGATTATTGCTCTTTTCAGGCACTCATCCTCAAAATAAGTCAATTAAGCCAAATTAGAGCATAAAAGAAGCAATCTTAAGTTGAATGGAAGAAAGGAGCAAAGTGGAAGTAAAGTGGTGGAAAACAGCATCTTCGATCGATTAGACCAAGTTTCGATCGATCTCACAGTGATCGTTCCAACCATTTCGAGATGGATCAAGACTTTTTGTCATTTTCCTCACCAAAATACCTTCTTCGATCGATCCAACATTTCTCTGATCGGTCGAACACCCTTGATTTTATCCCCACCTACCACTTTTGTCTTTTTCCCAAAATATCCTGAAAATATCTAAGATTTGGCTTATTCCAAAAAGGCGCCGCCAAGGTTCGATCAATCTCACCAGATTTCGATCAATCGAACCCCCTCAAGTGCGAAAAAAAAAAACAGAGTTCCAGCTAATTAAAAGGGTGCTCGTGGTGCAATTATTTAGAGGTCTTAGTGCACGAGGTCTGACCATTGGGTGTGACACCTGAGCTACCTATATAAGGATTTTGAGCCATTTTACACATATACAATCTTGGAGAATCATAGACAATCATAGGGAAAGGAACCATACACAAGAGAGGTTGGAGGAGTCTAGAGATTGGAGAGATACATACCATTTGGGAGTTCTTCCACTCATATAGGGTTTCATCAAGGAGAAGAAAATCATTCCTATCATTAATGAGTGGCTAAACATCTTCTTGGGGCTAGAGTTAGCCCTAAGCATGCCTCCTAAACTTTGATGCTTTGTATTTTGAGGGGATTTGTGTTGTAATTCTTGTCTTGACCTTTGATATATATATAAATCTTGTTTTTATAATGATTTGTGTGGTTTAATACTTCCAATTGATCATTTCATTCTATTCATATGTCTATATATACTAGAAAAAGATGTTCATGTGTTTATCTCTAGGTTTTCTGATATTGATGCATGTCTATATGTGTTGATGTTATGAATCTCGAGATTGTCAAGGCATGGTGCTTAAATAGAATACTTTTGTAGATTATTTGATGGTTCATACTCATTTCTTGATGGATTGTGCCTCTTCCTTAGTTTAATTAATTTAATTTTCATGTCCCTAGCTTAGTTGTAGTGTAGTTGCCTTACTTTCTTAGATGGGAAGACAATCCATGCTTGTTGTTTGACGTTCTATACTTATGAATGCAAGTAGTATATTTCTTAGTTTGTTGATGTGTTTTGATTGTGAGCTTAAAGGAAGGAATAATGGCTTAAATTGATATATTGTGCTATTTATTTGTTTGTCTATACAATATATGCTTAATTGGTCATCCATGCTTGTTGATTCAATCAATCACACACATTAGTATTGCAACATACAATCCCCCTCATTTATTGCACATTGAGTGTTTAGGAAGGTGATGTTTAGCGGTGACCTCTAAGTGCCAAGACCTCTCTTTCTTATTTCTCTATACTTTACTTACTTTAGTTGTTCTACATTGCTTTCATTGAATTTAAAAGTGTAGTTTAATTAACTAATCAAACCACCTTTTGGTAACTCGACCTACTAATCCAACATTATTTTCAAGCAAAGTACGTTTCCAATCCCTTGGGATGATCCCTACTCACCATAACTATATTTAGTAGTTAGAGGTAGTAATGACACTTTACAAATTCAAACTTGGCCAACTTTTAACACGTTTTAACTTGTTGATTCACAACGACACCACTAATTATGGGCAATACCGTAAAATCATACATCGCTATTAGTAATAGGGACGACCGTCACTGAGAGAGTGGCAAGTAAAATTATGAAACGTAGAGAGATGTAAGTAAAATATTGGCAAAGATAAGGGGGTGTAGGCCGGTGAAATTAACTATACTTCTTTTACCAATTTAGCTCTCTTGATTTATTGTCCTAAAAATTGATGCGTGCTTGTATATGAACACATAGATATATACACATACATACATGCATAGAGAGAGCACCTTTAAACTGATTTAGTACTCTTAGATCTAATGTCATCTAGAAAGATTGACCCATATTTGAAGCTCTCCAATTGCAAATGGCTACAAGGAGTGAAATCCAAGACTGAATCGACTGACACAGTTGCAATCTGATAGTTACAAATTTTTTTATTTTTTATTTTTTATTTTTTTTAATGATAAATTTAAAAGTAATAAAATAATTTAATACGAAGTGACAATTTTAACCATAAATAATAAAATATCGGTTTGTGATGAGTTAATTACAACAAATTGTTCGATGGTTGAAGAGATTAATTTGTAAAAAGGTAATAATTTATTTTTTATTTAACTTTATCCTCTAATACAGTAAACAAATCGACGGAGTGAATATGGGTCATTGCATTAAATAAGCGGGTCATATGGGTAAGAAATGAAGCAAAAAGGCATCAAAGGGACACGTGGCAATAGAATCCTGACATGTGATACGGCGTCCAGTCCGTACCGCTTTCCGCATACAAAACGATACAGATGCAGCTGTGATACTACAACCACTACCACCGAAGTTCCCCACTTCGCTTTGCAGAACTTGCAGGGGACTATCGTCTGCATAACCAACCCCTCTTTCTGACACACATGCACACAATGTTTACTACTATTATATAGCCTTCCCAGAGAGCCTTTTCGTCATTCTTTGCCTCCAAAGAGATCAGGTATAGCGCCTCTCTCTGTCACACACACTGACACACACACAATGTTTCGTTGCTTATGCATATTTTTTCTTTCATATTTTTAGTATTAATTTTTTTTTTGTATTTTCTCTGTTTTCTGCAATTTTTCACTGTTTTAGTTGTTTCTTCAAGCGATGTCTCTTTCACTCACCTTTTTTCCAAGTTTTCAAGCTTCACGTTCTCCTCTTTTTTTTTTTTTTTTTGGGTATGGCTAATGCATATTTCTCGGGATTCGTTTATTCTTTATTTTTTCAGTATAACTTTTTCGTGGCTTCATTTAATAAGATCAAACTTGCTTTGTTTTGTTTGTTGTTTTTGTTTTGTGTATTTTGATTTTTTTTTTTTGTCTTTCTTCTCTTACTGAGATAAATCATTGGGTTGTTTCCATCATTTCTCTTGCGGGGTTTTGTTTTGGGGTTTTCAATACGCCTCTTTTTATTTATTTATTTTCTCTGTAGTTTTTTTGTTTTTGTTTTTGAAAAGTAATTTCTCTGTAGTTTTCCATGTGGGTTTTATATATTTTCTCAGATCTCTTGGTTACTATTACTCTATAGAGTACAAACTCTCTATCTATTCGTTATTTTTGTTTTTATTTGGTTTCTCTTACAGATTGAAGGACCGTTTGTTGTTGATTCGAATGCATATTTGTGGATGATTCTTGTTGACATGTTGTTTATTGAGTTATTTGTCACTTTTTGTGTATTGTTTCTTTATGTACATTGTCCCCTATAACCACTGTGCACATGTCAAATCAACGTTTGTTTTGTTTCATTGTAATCTACGGAAAAGGAATGAAAACTGATCTCATCCATTTTTTTTTTTTTTAGGCTTCACAGTAGAATTGAAAATTTTAATTTGACAAAGCATTTGTCATTTTTAAGCTTAATTGAGTAATTAACAATAATAATAATTTTTTGTTATACTTTAATTTTCTGTTTGAAATTTTCGTTTGACTCAGTTTCTCTGTACCCAAAAAGCATTGTGGTTAACTTTGGTTGGTGAATAGATATAATCAGCATCTCCCAGCATTTTTTTCTACTATGTTGATTATTTGGTTGTGGTCTAGACAGATTTTATGTATTATTATATATATATATATATATATATATATATATATATATATATTTTCCTGTTACTCCTGATTACATTTTGTTCAGTGGATCTAGTTTTTCTATGGTAATCTTTAATGCCAACAAGGCAAAGCCATAGTCATGTGTATGAAATAAAGCCATCTGCTAAGTAGTAGTTTGAATCGCAAATGCTTATGGTTTTTAATTTGTGCTGGTTTTTGTTGAACACAAAAAAATTAGTTGTTAGCATTTTAACTTTTTTGAAATAAGATACAAAGGGAAATTATAGAAAATATAATATATTTGTGATTTGTGTGGCTTTTCATTTTTGCATAAGTAAATTATTTTTGTCAAATTGGATTTATGGATATTGTTGTGGTAGTAGCGCAACAAATTATGTTTTTGCCTGTTATTGAGTTATTCCGTAAAAAATCTAAGTTAGGCCTGTTGACTTATTTCAATACTATATCAATAACAGTATTTAGGCTAAAAAAACTTTAAAAATAGCCCTATATATCTAAAAACGTTACTCTTTTCTTAATATTTTCTGATTTATAAAAGCGGTTTACTTATTTTTCTAATTTTTGTAAAGTTCTGAGAAGTTAATTTTATATTTATCAATTCTTGACATGTTTTGTTGTACTGTCTCTACTTAACATAATTTACTTTTTTCTCATGAGAGTTAAGATAGCCTTTTTGTGTTGTGTCAACTTTATTCTTTTATTTTCTTTTTCCATTTGGTGATGCATTGTCCTGTTAGTCAATATGTTTTTCATATTTCTTTTCCTGATCATCTTCATATTGGGTAGCACTTATTGCATTTATTGAGATATATTGACTATTTGTTAATTTCGGTTTAATCCATTTTATGGATTACTGTCCACTCTTTGTTGCCTGTTCTAAATCGTTGAAAATTTGCCTGTACATAAATTGAGAAGTGGGAGTTATATTTAGTGACAGAAAAGAACAGAGCAGATAAAGATTTCTATCTCTGTTTTACTGATCATTGACATTCCTTTAGATAAAGAGACTTACCTATGTTGTAGTGACAATTTCCGTTGCAAAGCTAGCTCCCTGTTTCAGGTTTGTTTTGATGTCATTAGAGATATCTCTTTTGGTTATGGATCCACTTTGTATGGTTTTCTTTTTGTTGATAAAATGGGACATTGTTGTTTTTACCAATCAAACGTTTGATTGCTCAAGCTTGTTGTGGTGAGGTATTCATCTGAATGGTGTCTTCATTATGATTGCCTTGGCAAATGGACTCCCTTAGTGTTTGCTATTTCATCTTCATATAGATCTTTCACTTTTGTATTAGTCACACACGATTATGCATACTTTGATCGAAGATTTTTATATATATTATTATTGTCATTATGTTTTATGATGATATAGTTGTTACTGGCAATAAGGTCTAACCTCGAGTGCAATAAATTTCTGTACCATAAAACTTTTCATGTTCTGCAGCTTCTGCTTATTAATTTAATTTTTTCTACTTTCAGTGTTACATATCAATAATCAATGCTTATGTTTGAATTATTTTTCTTTGCTTTGTATGAAAATCTAAACATGATATAATTTTATTTCTTTTTCTTTTCATTTCCAAATGCTCTCCTTTACGTGCTGGTTGGAAATCAAAAGATGGAATCCTCAAATCCTGACATGTCCGAGCCTGTGCCACCACCTCCACCTGTTATTCCACCAAATGTAGTTCCACTGAAACCTGAACAAGCCAATATTCCTGAAACATTGAAGAAGCCACCAAAGATGAACCGTGTCCCAATGGACAGGCATGGCATTGGTTCAAAAGGGCAAAAGCTTCAGCTTTTAACTAACCATTTTAAAGTTGGTGTGGCCAGTTCCAATGGCTACTTTTTCCATTATAGTGTAACTCTCTCTCTCTCTTCCCCCCACCCACCACCTCCAAATAATCAGAAGCTGAGAAAACTGATATGCTCCTAAAATTTTCTCTTTAAATGTTTAGGTTTCTCTATTTTACGAGGATGGACGTCCTGTTGATGGAAAAGGTATTGGAAGAAGAGTGCTTGACAAAGTTCAAGAGACATATGACACTGAGCTTGCTGGTAAAGACTTTGCGTACGATGGTGAAAAGAGTTTGTTCACTATTGGTTCTCTTCCACGCAACAAGCTTGAGTTCACTGTTGTATTGGATGATATTTCATCAAATAGGTACGAGTACACTGGATTGTGCCGGGATTTTTCTTCACTTTACTGGTCAAGCTGTGTTTTGGTGTATACAATAACTTGGTGTGTGCTTTGTTCTCAGAAATGTGGGAACTGGAAGCCCTATAGGTAATGGCAGTCCAAATGAGAGTGACCGAAAGAGATCGAGAAGGGACTTTCAGTCCAAAACCTTTAAGGTGGCAATAAGCTTTGCTGCCAAAATCCCATTGCAATCTATTACAAATGCTTTGCGTGGACAGCAATCTGAGCACTTTCAGGAGGCAGTGAGAGTGCTTGACATCATACTCAGGCAGCATGCTGCGAAGCTGTAAGTTGAACTTACTTGCAGTTTTACTTTGCTTAGTGTTTCTACTGCTATCTTATTTTATTTGTCGGCAGGGGCTGCCTTCTTGTCCGTCAATCATTCTTTCACAATGAACCAAGAAACTTCACAGATTTGGGAGGTGGTGTTCTTGGCTGCCGGGGTTTCCATTCGAGTTTTCGAGCAACTCAGGGTGGTCTTTCCCTGAACATTGGTAAGTGCTTATACTACCTCATGGCTTCATCTACTCTTTGTACTGTTAATTTTAGGCTTTTTAGCAGTGTCTTGGTGTCCATTACTTTCAGATGTATCAACGACAATGATTGTAAAGCCTGGGCCTGTGGTGGAGTTTCTTCTTGCAAATCAAAGTGTGAGAGATCCATCTGAGATTGATTGGACCAAGGTAACTAAATTATCATCTCAAGTTTGGCAATCATGGTAAAAAACCAATTTGTTGACACTTGTCATCCTCAAAGTCTGCATGTTTGTTTCTTGTTACCAGGCTAAAAGGATGCTAAAGAATCTAAGGATCAAGACCATCCCAACTAATACAGAATACAAAATTACCAGCTTGAGTGATAAACCTTGTAAAGAGCAAACGTATGTTTTTGGTTTTCTATTCTTGTATTCACAATTTGCTCTATTGTACAGTCTAATTATAAGTGAATGGCTTGGGTTATACCATATTAGCATATCTGCTAACATTTCTTACTACTTGTTTTCAAATTATAGGTTTTTATTCAGACAAAAAAATGGAAAAGATGGTGATGGTGAGGTCCAACCAATTGAAATAACAGTCTATGAATATTTTGTTTCTCATCGCCATATAGGCTTGCGCTATTCTGGAGATTTCCCCTGCATAAATGTTGGGAAAGCAAAGCGCCCAGTCTTCTTCCCTCTTGAGGTGATGGAAATGGAAAAGCCTCAACCACAGTAGTTCTTATTGATTTCAGTGTAATAATTATATTCTTATATGTTGTCATTTTAGCTTTGCTCGTTGGTTTCTTTGCAACGGTACACCAAGTCATTATCTAATCAGCAAAGAGCTTCTCTAGTGGAAAAATCTCGGCAGAAGCCCCAAGAAAGGATGAGAGTTTTGATGGATGCAAGTTTTTTCCTTTAAATGATTGATATACTTGGCTGTTGTATTTTGTTCTGTGCTTAAATTTCTCTTCCCTCTGGGGGTTTCATTGCAGGCTTTGAAAAGTAGCAATTATGATGCTGACCCTCTTCTTGGTTCTTCTGGAATTTCAATTGGCACTCAGTTTACTCAAGTTGAAGGTCGGGTTTTGTCAATCCCAAAGGTAAATCTCTGTCAACATTGATGCCATGCTTTGTCATTATGTTACCTATCGTTTTTGTATCCGACTGTAGATTTATGAGTTTTAAAATCTTGTGGATTGCTACTTCTTACTTGCTATGACCATTGTTATTTTACTGCAGTTAAAAGTTGGCAATGGGGAGGATATATTTCCTCGCAATGGGCGTTGGAACTTTAACAACAAGGTACTGATCCTGTGTTCAGAAACTTTTTCAATACCATCGTAGTCTTGATATTAGTGGTTCATACAGTATAATTGTACCTTCGTGTAGAAATTGGTTGAACCAAAGAGGATTGAACGTTGGGCAATTGTAAACTTTTCTGCTCGCTGTGACGTCCATGGTCTGTGTAGAAATCTAATTAAGTGTGGAGAAATGAAAGGAATTGTGAGTTTTTTTCTCTTTGTTCTTTTAATATTGCAATCACATCATGGGGCTTATTATTGTAATATATATATATTTTAATTGTAGTTTATTAGTTCTCCATTTGAGACATTTGAAGAGAATCCTCAGTTTAGGCGCAGCCCTGCTCCTGTTAGGGTGGAGAAGATGCTTGATGTAATAAAGTCAAAACTCCCTGGACCACCTCAATTTCTTCTGTGTATACTCTCAGACAGGAAGAATTCTGAAATCTATGGTTGTTGATTTATTTTCTTGTTCTGTATTTTTCTCTGGTATTCATTTACGTCATTGACCATCATGTTTCTAAACAAATATCACTTTTTATATTGAAGGTCCATGGAAGAGGAAGACTCTTGCTGAACTTGGAATAGTTACACAATGCATTGCACCTACAAAAGTGAATGATCAATACCTTACTAATGTGCTTTTAAAAATCAATGCTAAGGTAAGTTATTTCAGCTACTATTTTCTGAAAGTACCTAGTTTTTCCATATATGTTGTTTTTCCTTCATTTTCTGTATTGTCCTTGATTATTTCTTGCTTCCTTGCAGTTGGGTGGTATTAATTCCCTGTTAACTATTGAACATTCTCCGTCTATGCCTCTGGTTTCTAAACTTCCCACCATAATCCTTGGGATGGATGTGTCCCATGGCTCTCCTGGCCGTTCAGATGTTCCATCTATTGCTGCGGTAATATTTACTTTTTTGTAAACTATGTAAAATTATTGCGGTTTCAAAACCAAGTTGGATGATGCCTGCAGGACTACAAAAACATTCCCCAAATGCGTGAAAGCACCAATTATTTTGATACTATCTCTTTTTGCACTTTGTAATTCGTAGGTGGTCAGTTCCAGGCAGTGGCCACTGATTTCCCGCTACAGGGCTTCTGTTCGTTCACAGTCACCAAAAGTTGAAATGATAGATTCTCTATACAAACCAGTGTCTGATACTGATGATCAGGGCATAATAAGGTAGAATACATTCTGGCATTTGCTTTTACAAAATCAAATGTTCTGAAGTTTCTGCAATTTCTGTTACAGAAGTCTCTTCTTCATTTACAGTGTGGAAGTATACACGTTTAACTGTAAATGTCTGCCAAGTTTTGTCCAGAATGTGTGTTGTAACTTCTGCTTAAGCTTCTGTTGCTAAAAGGGTTCCTATTTCTGCAATTTCAGGGAGCTGTTAATGGACTTCTATACAAGTTCAGGAAAAAGGAAGCCTGATCAGATAATTGTTTTTAGGTGTGTCAGTGATTTTCTTTTTGACAATTAGGAAGGCTGTTGTGTTTTTTTCTTCTTCTTTTTTTTCCCTTCTTCTCATTCAGAAAATATCTGGCTGTATATGTCCTATCATATTTTTTTTTTTTGGTTTGTTGGGATCCAGTATCTTAACTCTAATTACAGCTCCATCAAAGAGACTTATAATTTCTAGAGATGTATAGATACATAATATGATTTACAATGTGAAGCGCAAAAATATAACAGGCTTTCTGAGACATTTTTTTCCCCCAAGTTCTGATGAAGAAGAAAAAAATGAAAGATTTGAGAATAGATTGTTTAATGTCATTTTGCTCTTTCTACTAGAAATTTGAGCAATTAGAAAAGCAGATACAGAACATTTCTTTTTTCTTCTTTGACTCAATTCTCAAAACATTTTCCAAGAGCACATAACCGAACGTATTTTTCAACATTCCTGTTTTTTAAGAATAGAGGACTGTCTTCTGAGGCACTGACCGATACACTAACCTTTTCACCTTCCAAAAAAAAAATTAAAATACAGTAATCTTTTAAGCTTTTATTATTATTATTATTTTCTCCCCCTATACAAGTCGTTTCAAATGAAAATAGAAACAGGCATGCAAGATTGTTGTTGTTGTTGTTGTTTTTTTTCTCTCTCTCTCTCTCTCTCTCTCTGGTCTCATGCTTGAGTGGATGAACGCAAACCTCATGCTCAATTGTACGTTGCTCATTTCAAATAGTGCTGATATCTGAATTGGCATATACTGTTTAAAGGACTGAAACTAGTATGTCCATATCTAGTAATTTATTAAATGAATTTGAGCAAGGCAATTGTGTACAACCAACATTCGTGAAAAATCTTCGTCTTGTGTATCATAGATTGCAATAGAAAACAGTACTTATCTTTGTGGATTTAATTTTTTTTGAAACTAGAAATATGTGGTTGCAGCTGTTCTCAACAAAAAATTGTTTCACAAAATTAATTTCGACGGGCATTATAATTTTTTTTCTTCTTCATGTTAAATGGCTTCTTGTTTTGTTGTTATCACATTAACTTGGAATCGTCAAAAAACTTTATCAAATGTGCTTGTTTTATGAGCTTTTCTCCCTCTTGAACCTATTTTTTTCTAGTATTGTTGAACTTGGGTGAATCTTCTTTCTTGCTTATCAGTAATATTATTTGATGTTTGCAATGTGTAGGGATGGAGTCAGTGAGTCCCAGTTCAACCAAGTTTTGAACATTGAACTGGATCAGATTATCGAGGTTTTGCATAACTGATCGTAAGATTCTTCATATGAATCAATCTTACCCAGTCGTAGTCAAAGTATTTCTGTGTGTGCAGGCTTGCAAACACTTGGATGATAAATGGTGTCCGAAGTTCATGATGATTGTTGCACAAAAAAATCATCACACCAAATTTTTTCAGGCCAATGCCCCGGATAATGTTCCACCTGGTTAGTCATTTTGCCAACAATAGAAAATAAGAGGCGCAATATAACTCATTTCATGTAACATTTTCATTGTAATTATGTTCTTGCAGGGACAGTTATTGATAACAAAGTTTGTGATCCGAAAAGCAATGACTTCTACATGTGTGCTCATGCAGGAATGATTGTGAGTATTAAAGCACAAATTTTTTTTTTTTCCTTTCCTTTCTTTATTTGGATGTATTTGTTTGTTGCAACTTACTTACATCCTAGAGTAAGCAATGATGAACTGGGGCAAATATTGGTGAACTTTATGTGCCACAGGGTACGACCAGGCCTACACGTTATCATGTTATACTTGACGAGCTTGGCTTTTCACCAGATGATTTGCAGGAACTCGTGCATTCCTTGTCCTATGTGTAAGTAGATGCTCAACTATTTTCATAATTATATCATGGTGATAGTTTTGTGAGCGAGGATTTATTTTATAATTAACATTTATATCCATACTCATCGACAAGAGCTATACTTGGTAAATGACTTTTTTCTCCCTTGCTATTTTTTTCATGTGCCGTGCACGCTGATTTTACAATGTGCAATAACAGTTAGATTTAAATTTTGCAGGTACCAACGGAGTACTACGGCCATATCTGTAGGTAATATAACTTTTTCATTAATGCTACTTTACTGGAGAGAAATTTCCTTCATTGAACCTACCTTGCAAAAGAAACTTAGTTGACAAAACCTAGGCTTATAATATCCTCTGGCAAAACCTTAGGGCCTTAGGTAGATTTGGGCAACCCCTAAGCTTGTACATTTACACTTGCTCTTATGATATACTTTACTTGAATTTCCGAAATAAAACACTTAGTTGCCAAAACTTTTCCTTGGGATGCAAGCCTAATTTAGTTGGTAATCTGAGGTGAGGTGGGAGAGCCGGCAATTTTGTCATTTATTTTTAGCTAGGGGCTTTTCTATATGAAATTGATCATTATTTTGCTGTGCATTGTTTAATATTTGCTGAAACACCAAGAAAAATGGTTTGCGATGAACTATTACAGTAATTTCTTAGAGCATATCTTGAGAAGTTCTATAAAATTCACTTTTTTGAGTATTCTCGTAGTTGAGTCATAGCATCATCTTTCTCTGGAGCTGGTTGATATTTCTTATGAACTTAAAGCCAAGTTTGTCCAGGATGCTGCAATTCTACTGGCGTTTTGTGGAAAGATCTTCTGTGTTCAATTATTGCCTTAATAGGATTCCTCTATATAGAATGTCAAGCTCTGATAATTTGTCACTTGATCTAATTTCTGAAATATAATCCTACTGTAGACAAGTTGCATCCAAAACATCTATGTTTGTTTTTTGGTGGTTGGCCAACAGCAGGGGGTTTCTTGCCTTTGTAACTTTCAATATTTTCACTTTTTTGGCTATAATATTTAGTTGCATGAAAATCCAAAATATATAGTACATAAAAATCCAGCTAGAACAACCAACATGGGTGTGTGAGTACACTAAAAAAAAAAAAAAAAATCCAGCTAGAACCTTAACACTTCCCTTACAGGCCTGCTACTATCCAGAGTAAATTGCTTCAATAGAAACAACCTTTAGGGTGTTTTTGAACTAATCTTTAATTATGGTATTTTCTTGCAGTTGCTCCAATATGCTATGCCCACTTGGCAGCATCACAAATGTCCCAGTTTATAAAGTTCGATGAGATTTCAGAGTCATCTTCTAGCCATGGTGGGCTCACTTCTGTTGGTGGAGCTCCCGTGCAAGAACTCCCCAGGCTGCATGAAAACGTGCGTAGTTCTATGTTCTTTTGCTAAAAGTGCACTCACCATTCATTCTGAGTGATGTATAGGCGACAGAATTGAACTGAAATATGTAGAGGTTAATGCTTAGCATGGGAATGCCACCCTGCAAAAACCATATGATAGTATTATTAAATTAGGTTCTGGAAATACTTTGGTGGAGTTGTAGATTGATGCCATGGCATTTGTGGCAGTTATGGTTTTGAGTTTGGGCATTTCTACGCTTTATCTGGCAGCCTACGTCATCAAATTCTACAGTTATATGGATGTTTTTCTTGTTATATTATTGCTAGTAGTAGAGTGGAACTCAGAAAGAATGAATTCAGCAGTGTTTGATGCTACGTATTCATTATATGAGTAGTTCTGTTTTTGAATTTTAATTGTTGAAAGGTAGCATGGATTTCTCATCATTTAGAGCTTGCTGGAGCTTTTAAGTGTTGAGGTTTATGCTCAGAATGAGCTTTAATTGAAGTTGCATGGTTAAGATTGTTGGGATTTATATGCCCTGGCATAGCAAATTCTTATCTGGATTAAAGTGACATATGTTCCTGACATATCTGAAATATTTATGATTTATATAATTGGTGAATTCAATGTATTATGTTTCGATTCACTATGAAATTGATAGTGTCCCTGTGATTACAAGAAATATTTATATATATGTATGTGATGGCAATCAATGTATGATATATACATAGTAATTATAAATTGTTCATAGTCGGTAATTATGGATGGATTCATAATTAATTAAGACTTGAACTGGATCCGCGTTAGGTTGAGATATATTGCGAGAGCTGTCGTATGCAATTGCTCCCTAGCACCGTCATAGCATTTGACCTTAAGCATGAGAAAATTATAGACTCTTTTATTAATTAATAATTACTTTGATTTGTTCGGCGAATTCTTCGGAATCCTTAGACCGACACTTTGGGTAGTTATGTAATTAATAGTTAGAGGGTTATATTTTCAATATTTGCATCATTGCTACTTGTATTTATTTTGTATTGATTATGGTTGATCACAAAGTAAATTCGAAGGCCTTCGTATGTTTTTAGACAAAATGATTTATTATATATTTATTTATTAAATTATTATTTTTTTGTCAAACAAATGTTTTATTGTGATCAAGTCAGAAATAATCAAAAGTACCAAAATAAATATATTAATTAAGTAGTCGGATTGATGGCATTATTTATCCAATAACTAATTATGCATAGAGGGGTCAAAGTGCAATATTGACTTAGTGGTTATTTATTATTTAATTGGAGTTCAATTAATTTCTTTTAGTGGAGTAGAAATTAATTTATGAATTAATTGAATTGGGTCTATGGACCAGGCCAATTATTAATTCATTGTAGCCAATAAAATAATAGGCTCAATGGATTCTCACTCATAGCCCAACTTGATATTGGAATCATATTAGATTTGAGACATGTGAATTAGAGATTGAGAAGGATTAGTTGTTTCCTTTTCTTTACCTTTATGTTGCCTATAAATATACATGGTCTATGTATATTTTAGGGGTGATTTTTAGGAGAAGGGAAAAGGAATAAATATTTTCTCTCTATAGAAAATTAGGGTTTATGTTCTCATCTAATGGAGGCTCCCACAAGCCTAGTTTTCCAAGGTCATTCATGGAGGCTTATGAGTGATTCCTAAAGGTAAGACCATTACCAAGAAGATGGAGATGGAGATCTATGGAAAAGGTGTCTAGCAAAAGGGATCTACAATAAGTGAGAACATTCACTTTAGAGGAGAGATCTAAGGTTTACTCAAACCTTAATGTAAGTATTCAATCTTTTAATTGAATGATACATCATGTTTTATTTTTGCATAAAACTTGTCTCTATGTAATGAATCAAGATCTATGAATTAAAATCCCTCGAAAAGTTTTTAAAACTAGCACGTTTCCCAACAGTGGTATCAAAGCATGGTTTGATTCATTACTAGAGATCATGATTTTATGAAAATCATCATTCATGGGTCCAAAATTATATTCATATATATTTGTATTGATGTATGTTGATGTATGATTTAATATGTTGATATATATTGATATATGATGATGTATGAATAATTGTGAATGAATGATGATGTATGGTTTGGCCATGGATGAAGCTTATAGGAATATTGAATGTAATTTTATCTTTGGATGAATGTAATTAAGGCTTTGATTTAGCCGTTTGAAAGTTCAATGATGTAATTTAATTTTTTCCATTGTATTTCAAATTGTAAATATTTTTAAAGCCATGTAATCTTCATCAAAGGGTGCTATGAAGCTTTAAGAAGGTCCAAGAGGGTTAAATTAGGCTTCAGGAATTTTCTGGGATTTTTTAGAAATTTTCCGGAATTTTTCTGGAATTTTTTAAGGCCTAATTTAATTTCTGAAAATTTTTATTAATTTTTCTGGATTTTTCGGCGATTTTCCGGCGACCGGAGTATGGCCGGCGACAAGGGACAGCTCCGGAAGGTGGACGGATGATCCGGTGTGGTGCGGTATACATGAGCGCGCATCGGCAACCGTCGGATCAAAGTTCAGCGGGGCAAAGATCCAGTGGAACACGGCTGGAAGTTGCCCCATGCACCAGCAGTAGAAAGGCGCGTGCATGACACGCGCCGGAACCACATCAGCGCTCATGGCGCGTGCTAGCGCGTGGAACGCGCTGGCTATTCGCACACGCGCGTGCCCGCGCATGGGAGCGCGTGGCACGCGCTTCAGCATTCTCCCAGCGCGTGGCACGCGCTGGAGACCTCTAGAGACGTGTCCAGGCGCGTGAAGAGGTTGGAAGGCGCGTGGTAAGCGCGTGTTGGTGCGTGTAAGACCATTCAAGCGCATTCGGACCGCCGTTTTGCTTCTCCCGGTGCGTACCAGCCTTATGTGGGTGTTTGCAAGTCGATGGATGATCTTCCCGTAATATTTAGAGTAGTTAAATGTTAAAAGCTGATTCCATTGGCCATTTTATTTGCTTTATCTGTCATTTATTTATTTATGCGATGTATGAAATGCATGGAATATATAATTGTTAATTAATTATTATTCATGCATTGGATCCATGATATTTATTTAAATGGCTTGATTTACATTAATTAAATTATGAAAATTAATTGGATTAGATTACTAATTAATTTGAGGGCACTTATTGGGAAACGAAAAATTATTTTTGTAAATTATTTTTAAAGTGTGTTTCAAATTAAATATTAGTGAATCATTTAAAGTCCAAATATTTTCTAAATTTAATGGGATTAAAATCAAGACGTTTTGCATGCATTATATCATGTAAATTGAAAACCCTAATTATTAATGACTAAAAATTGAGTGGGAGCGGGGATTTTTATACATTGACCCATGGCCTTCGTTATTAAAACCATTGTAATTAGATCTTCAAAAATAAGGCCCCACGCATGATTTGAAGAGTCTTAATATTACAAGAATGGTTGTCTCATGAAAATAAAAATATTAAATGTTCATTGTAATTAGATCTTTAAAAATAAGGCCCTACGCATGATTTAAAGAGTCTAGATTATAATGACAACATATTTAATGTTTTATTTTTCGTTAGAGCATTAATAACGTTATACACTCAATCTAAAATCAATAGTGTTAGCTCCCCAACGGAGTGGTCTACACTAGGTGATTTTAGAAAGGTTAAACATAATCGGGAATCATTTCATATATATAGACAAGGCATTGTCTTAAGAGATATGGAGATGATGGGATTTGCCCGCCAATAGCAATAATGAACTTCGCCAACCGAATAAATTATTGGCGTATTGGTTATTCGATTTTTCATGCAGTGGTTAAGGGACCCACATACTATTTTAATGGAAGTGCTCACTAATAGTAAATGAATCTCAACAATAGTAATAATGAACTCCTCCAACAGGATAAGTTATTGACATATTGATTGGTTGATTTATTATACTACAGAGTTGAGGGACCCGCATTAATTAAAAGGGATTGTTCACCAATAATGATAATGATCTCTTATTCGATTGAGATTTATTGTATTATGTGGTTAACAAACTTATTTTAATTTTAAATATGCATGATAGTATTAATAATTCACCTTCCATATTGTATGAATGTATTTATATTCAGATTAATTATGTCTAATCCAATTTGTCTACTTGCTTACATATTCAATGTAACTGGACCTCATTAATATTGACTGAGAAATGAACTTAGATATTTTATTCACAACGTAAGGGTACAAATGTATTTACTACTCCTAAACCTAATCCTTTTACTTTAAGATATCCAAGAGAATATTAATGCTTTGAATAAGTGAAATAAGGCAAATGAGATGACTTGGTGCAATATTCTAGAGTTTACCTCGAATACGCTCCAAAGCTAACATTTACATTATTTTATTTTCTTCAAGCATCATGTTAAATGTCAATAAGATGTTTTGGTGAGATTAGATAAAGAGTATGCCAAAGTACTATGTCAGACTTGAATAGCAACAAGATAGCCTAAGGAACTCCAGTATAAAATTGTATTTTGAAAATGATTGTTTATTATTTAAAAAATTAACTGGAGATCAATAGGGCTGACTTGAGTGGTAAGTTTCAAGTTGACATGATTATTGCCTTATTACCAAACTCGTTCGACTCTTTTAGAGTGAACTAAATAAGGAATCAGTTTGAGTTCATACTCGCTAATATTCTTATAGAATTGGTAACAAATGGAAGGATAATCAAATAGTATAAGTATTCCTATCAATCTAACCTAGTCTATACCATCTTCTTCTAGGCCCAAGTGGAAGGGCAAAATAAAGAAGAAGGATGATAATAGGACTAGGCTAGCACAAAACATGGGTATCCAAAAGGTTAAAGGGAATAAGGCAGTGTATGTTGAGGGCAAAGAAAACTGTTTCTTTTGTCGCTAACTAAGACACTAAAGGACAAACTGTCTAAGCAATGACGTGGCATAGGAAAGTATATATTTAATCATTGAGCCATGTTATGTGGTTGTATCTATTAATTCCTGATGAATAGATTCTAGAGCCACTAAATATGTTTGCAATTCATTGCAAGGGTTTCAGGAATTCAGAAGCCTCGATGATATGGAATATATTTGTACTTGACCTGATGTCAAGGTTGTAGCTAAGTCAGTGGGAGTATTACATCTGAAATTAGAAAGTATGAGGATATTAGTATTAGAGAATTATCTTTATGCACAGAGGTTAGACGCTATCTAATTTTTGTTTCACTTGTGGTTTATAAAAACTGTGTTGTTATTTTCTAAAACTGGTTTTATAAAATTGAATAGATATGCGATTGCTTCTGGTGCATTGAAAGATGGTTAATATACTATAATCACAAACTCTTAAGATTTGCAGGATGTAGAAACTAATGTTGCATCTTCTAGATTGAATGT